TGAAATTGCTACCTGCCAGTGTAATTCTAAGGTCATCATGCAAAAATACACAAAAACCAAATTGGTAGGTATGACAAAATCCTTGCAAGTCATTCATCACAATGGTAGATCCTGTATAGAATATGTTTAAGCCTTAACAAGTGCGGACCAGGAAAAGCACACTAAATTGGCAATTTAGAATCACAGAGCTGCTATTAGGAATATAAGAAATAGAAATGTTGAAGCATAAGAGAACTGTATCTTCAAGTCCCCACAAACAAAACATACACCAGCTGAATCCTGGAATCTGGATATATATATATGTATATATATTTCTTAATAAAACTGTCCACAGAGCACAGACAAACAAATCCAGTTCTTCCTTCCCCTCCCAGGAGATATCTCACTACATCCAACCTACTGCTTTTCAGTAAGTTATGAAGAATTTAATTCAAGCTGCCTGCACTGGCTAGTTTCCCTGCAGTCAATTCACTTCTTTTGGGCTAGCAGGACATCAGAGCTAAAAAAACATTACGTCAGTTTAAGTGATGGTGGATCTGCTTCTGCTGTTTGTTAAGCCTCTCTGATGGAGGATTAGATTTGTTTTGGTACTGCATCTCAGAAGACTCTAAAGGGCATACATAATCTAAACTACAGACTGTCAAGTTCTTGTTGGGCTGAGTTTCTCACCAGTCATGGAACAAGCATGACTCACCAGCAAACAACACAAAGACTTAAATGAATCTTCAGGACAGTACTGGGAATGCACGCAGGCTGCACAGTTCTTTTTAAGGGTTTTGAGTTTTAATCTTTCTACGTCTGTGCAGATGAACTGGTGTTCTTATTTGAAAAATACATGTAGAAGTATATCACAAGCCTCGATTTTCCAAAAGGTCACCAATTACGAACATAATAGAATAGCAATGGCTAGTATACAAAAGTAAGAAGGTATTCTACTATTGTTTGTGTCAAACTGTTAATGTCTGGAATCAGTCTGTTCAACTGAGCCACTGATGTTGTGGAGAGAAACACATTTTGAGACAGAACATTTTCTTTCATGCTGGTGGCATGCAGTTCTGCATTTAAATAATGAATTGGCTGAAACTTGCCTTACACCAAAAGGAGAAAAGAAATTTGGCATCGGGAAACAATCACTACATGTGGAAAATTCACTTAGACTAATTATTCATGCTGTGCAATTATCACCATGGTCAGAGATGTAAAAGAAAAACCTGAAAATTTGCAGTGAATAATCAAAACTAGAAAAACATTGAAATCTACTGCTCTATTTTACATATTGCAAAATACAAACTTGGTTACAGCTTGGGAGCAATAAAGACTCCTCAAACCTTAAATATTTTATTTGCTTTTAACTTCCTGAATACAACTAAGAGTACATTAAAATGTTACTAGCATCTACTTAATTCTAATTGAAAATGTAATTCTTGGTTTCCTATTGACTCAAGACAGTAGTGCCCCCAAGTGACATTTCATTATAGAATATAGTCTTGTAGCTTTGCAAAAAAACCCCAGCCCAACAGACCATTTTAACTGCTTCACACAATACTAAGAGAGAACAGACACTTGTAAACACCAGTCAGACTTAAATGACACTGACATTTCTTTAAGAGGGCTTGTGAGGGAGAAAAAAGGAGGAGTAATTCACATTTTTATTTTCTAACCATTCTGAAGCTGCTAATTGTTGGAAATTGTAACATCAACATAAAGCTGAATTTGCATCTTCTGCCAGCTATTCATCAGGCTTTTCTGCACAAACTACCATAATATCCTAGCAGACATTTTCTTAATTTGATCAGGATTTCCCGGGTTTTGCTTGCCCCCTTCCCTCACAACCACATTTGCTGATATTACTGTTAAAAAAAAAAACAAAAAACAAAACTGAAACCAAACTTGTTCGCTAATCCTGCAAGGTGCTCTCCTGGAAGTGTGAGCTCTCTTGCTTCCCAGAGGTATATCATGCTTTGTAGGCTATCAGTGAGTGAAGAAACTTAAAAGCACAGTTTTGGAAATAATAGGACATGATATACCAGGCCTCATTAAAGCTAAAATCTATTACAGGTCATGATAATGGTTATGTTCTCATTAATTTTTCCATAAAGTCTACATGTCAGAACCCATTTAATATATTATAGAAGAGTCCTAACATACAGGCTTGTACCTAAAACAACAATGTAATGACTAGTAAAAATGATATAAAAACGGCAATTAAAGTACAGGCAACTTAGTGATTTGAGATATTTACCAGCCACTGAATGGAAGCAAATTGACATAGCCTCAGCACTGACAAATATTTACATTAATATGATTACATTAATAATATCAAATATTTACATTATGTTTACGACAAATGTACATGTAATACACACATGTATAGAGTTGTTTTGCTAGTTGATAATCAAATGTATCTGTGATAAAGGCTCCATTTTAAATAAAGTTCCCTTTGCGCAGACACAGAGAGTACTAGTAAAAAGCACAGAAAAAAAGCCTGTTCAGAGAAGGTCTAATTTTGTTTGGTTTGAATTCAAATACCCATTGAAGCATTCACTGCCAGATCTGTACAGTATGCTAGTAAATCAATATTCAGCATCCAAGATTTTCAGGAATCAGACTTCATTCAGAAGCAAACCAATAGTTGCAGAAGTTTAGATAACTTACACAGAAACAATGTAAGAATTACTGGGTTACGTCAGATCTCTGAAAAAGTAGCATCTGAAAATTAAGGGTTATTTTAAAAATTATTTAAACTAAATCACTCTGCAGAATGAGCTACACAGGCCTCTTACAGAAATAGAAATCAAAAGCTAATTATTTTTGTAGAAAAAAGATTAAGCTTTTCACAGAAAAGTTGTCTTTAATGTGGTGCTAGAATAAGTAATCCTGCCAATCCTGCAAGGACTTCCTCCCTTGTTACTCAACACATGTAGAAGAAAAACATCTAATCAAAAGATGACGCCAAATATACATACACACAACAATGAGTATTGTTCTTGCAATTAATTTTTCAGTTTTATAAAATTAATAGAATTGGTCTGAAAAGTAACCACAGTTAGGTGGCATTTATAAAACTTTTTAAAAGTTCACTACAGTATTATGTATCACTGGGGAGCTGAGTCATCTGCATTTTTGGTCTGTTAAACTATAAGCCTGCTTTACTGTCAGCCTGATTTATCCTCCAATTTTTATATTTGTTGAATGAATTTTAAAATATATTACAATCCAAACATGCCTATTCTTTTAACTTGCATCCAAAATGGCTAGGTCGTAATGAGAACCTGAAGTTTGAAACTGAACAAGAGGTTAACATCAGACAGAGTATAATATAGGAAAAGCACCAATATCAGAGAGTGACATGCAGCAAGCAAGGTGGCTCTTCATGTATAAGTAGGTGTTGCTAAGAATAACTGCTGCAAGAACTCCACTTGATAGGAAAGCTGTGATATGCTAAATAATCTAATCAAAATATAAAGAAATATTTATTCATAACTGTTTCTATTGGTAGACATACGATAATTAATACAAGGTCTAAAAATAATTGGTATACCTTTTTTACTGTCAACTTTTATGCAGCCACTTGTTAACACAGTTCACTTGTCAAAGATGTTCCTACCTGGACTGCAGAAGATTCCTTTACATACTGAAATTTAAAAAAGGCAATTTTGAATCACTCCCACTGCACAGCAAACCAGGGTATAATTCAATTACCAGACATTATTCATATAAAGGTTCATATTCTTATTTTCACCAATTTTTTTCAAACTATGAAGTAGTTATATACAATGTTCTAAATGTGTTGCTGTAAGTATATAACATAAAAAAAATAATGTAACAGCAACTTCAAGAGGTACTCAAAAATACAATTACTATGGTTTCTATGGAAGATGAGTTTGATCTATGCAATATTTCATATCATTTATAAACCACTGGTAGTTTACCGTTATAATGCATTTTGTTCACTTCAAGCTATCTTTCTAAAAATTATCTCCATCTATTTAGATGAACCAATGTGACAAGATTTCCACCTTCCAGCAAGTATTACTTAATTTCTGGTTTTGTCATAGCACAGAAATGTCAACACACATGTAATACATCACCAGTGGCTCAGCAAAAAAAATATTGACTGCTTTGAATCAACACAAAGAGTTTTTGGGGGCTTCTAACTACACTTCCACAAAAAAAAAAAAAAAAAAACAAACAAAGATATGCAATATTATTTTAATACACAGAAGTGCATTTCCCTATTATATGCCTGAAGGAGACTCCCTTTCTCTCTACTGTGCAGACTGCACTGCTGTTCAGTTCCTCCCCATCCTACTGTTCTCTGCCATTCCCTTCCCCAGTCACCTTTTGGCTTTGTGCACATTTCCCCTCCACATTCAGGTGAAAACATCTGCCTTCAATAGCACCATTTCCTGTCTTTCCATTTCCACTTAATTCAAGTTCCTTCCTTCTGGCTCCCTCTACCCTCCTGCTTCTTGAGCTCACTTTACTCTCCAAATTCCACTTCATATACACATCTACTGTTCCCTTTCTGCCCTTTGTCCTTTGATGGGCATTTGCAAGTCTGCTATGTATTAGAATAGCATGAAGTTGCATATGGATCATTTCCTCTAAAATAAAATTTCTGTTGTATATACTATAGGCATTTTTCCCGATGGAGAGGACTAAAAAAATATGGTGATTTTTAAACTCGGCAAGCTCAGGAGTATCTCTGTGACAGTTTTCTTCTATAAACTTATTTTTACAGGTAAGTTTGCAAAAAATTAAAAGTCTTCCTATTAAGATCTACTGCATGGAAAACAAAAAAAAAAGCCCCCCAAAAAACTACATAAGATTGAAGTACAAGCCACAAGATCAACAACAGAAATGTACATTTTATGTTAAGGACTTCTAAAAAAGCCATCATTAACACAAATGCTGCGCCATTTACTTATTTGGTTTAAGTAAGAAGAGTCTACTGAGTTACAAAAGAAACTTAAAAAAAATACAAAAGATAACCTTACTTTTTCATCATCATCAGAAAAAGGGGCACCTCCAGGAGTCTTATTAATTGCTTGGGCAACACCAATAATCTCTCCATCACTGTTTCTTATGGGCATGCACAAAAGTGACTTTGTCTTGTATCCAGTCAGTTTGTCAATCTCGTCATTAAAGCGTCGATCCTTCAAGAGAAAATAAGGAAGCATTAACATGCATTTGTACATCTACATTTTCTTCAGGCAGCAAAGTATTTTATTTTTTCAACATTTTATACAGTATTTTCAGTAATGTTATGTGGTTGCTTTGCTATTACCCCATTCTTCTTTAGCTGTTTTTCCTAAGATACTAAAAAAAAATAGTTTTCTCAAAGGATCAGTACCAGGTTTACCATTACATAATTGTATTCAGTAAAGTGCCACATTTATGTTCTCAATTAGAAGAATGTCCTGCCTAAAGCATCACTACCAAAGCAGCTAATAGGAGAACATGTTAAAAATTAAGACAAATTAAACATGAGGAAAATAAATACAAAAAGATAAAAAAATGTGATAAAAACTGCACAACACACTTTGGGATCTCACACACCACAAGCTCCTTACACCCACGGCTCAACACAACAACTGTGCTGCACAACATCCTTGTCTCCAAATTGGAGGCATAGATTTGACAGAGGGACCATGCTGTGGATAAGGAATCGGCTGGATGGTCACACACAAAGAGTTGCGATCAACAACTCAATGTCCAAGTGGAGATCAGTGACGAGTGGTATTCTCAGGGTTGGCATTGAGACTGGCACTGCTTAACATCATTGTCAGCAACATGGACAATGGGGCTGAGAGTACCCTCAGCAGGTTTGCTGATGACACCAAGCCGTATGGTACAGTTGACACACTGGAGGGAAGGGATTCCATCCAGAGGGACCTTGACAGGCTTGTGAGGTGGGCCAATGCCAACCTCATGAAGTTTAACAAGGCCAAGTGTAAGGACCTACACCTGGGCCAGGGCAAACCAAAGCACAAATGAAGGCTGGGAAAAGAATGGATTGAGAGCAGCCCCAAGAAGACTTACTTAGGGGTCTAGTGTATGTTGATGAGAAGCAAAACATGACCCGGCACTGTGCGCTCACAACCCAGAAAGCCAACTGTATCCTGGGCTACATCAAAAGAAGTGTGACCAGCAGGTCAAGGGAGAGGATTCTCCCCCTCTACTCCATTCCTGTGAGACCCCACCTGGAGTACTAGCATCCAGCTCTGGGGTCCCCCAATATAAGAAAGACATGGACCTATTGGAGCAAGTTTATAGGAGGACCAGGGGTATGACCAAAGGGCTAGAAGAACTCTCCTATGAAGAAAGCCTGAGAGAACTGGTGTTTTTCAGCCTGGAGAAGGCTCCAGAATACCTTCTAACAGCCTTTCAGTACCTAAAGGGGGCCCAATAAATCCAGAGAGGGGCTTTTTTTTAAGGTATGTGGTGACAACAAAAAGGGGGACAGATTTAGATTAGATATTAGGAAGAAATTCTTCACTATTATGTTGGTGAGGCACTCAAACAGGTTGCCCAGAGAAGTTGTAGATGCCTCAGGATGCTCTGGAAGTGTTCAAGGCGAGGTTGGATGGGGCTTTGAGCAACCTGGTCTAATGGAAGGTGTCACTGACTATGGCAGGGGGTTGAAACTAGATTTAAGGTCCCTGCCAACCCTTATGATCCTACTGCTGCCAATAAACATTCCTACTAGCAAATCTGTGGGTAACAACACAGCCTTTGCAAGCATTGGTGAGAGCCTCAAGCTCCTGTGCACACACCATAGTTCCTACAAGGCACATACTAACAAAAGAGCTGTTCACAGTTCACGAAACATATCTTTTTATAGTGTGTGGAGCATGCAGATGCTGGGATTTGTATGAAAGAATAATGAGCTGCAAGAAGTGCTGTGCTGAAAATGTATAGGCAAATATCTGGGTAGTCTGAAGTTCCTAATCTAGAGTAATTTTTCATTAATTTGTACTGCTCTAAGGGGCAAATTTAATACTAACTCTCAGTGCTATTAGAACAGAACAACTGAATGCCCACAATAAATGTTTTCCCTTAAGCTTTACATGACAAGTAGCAATCATTTATTCAAGAATTTTGCAAGTATAATTTTTTGCAGCTTTGTTAATTTTCAAATTTTGCTGACCAACAATTGTGTCTAACATCAAGTGTTTCTATTGTTACATATAATTTCTTTTAGGCGCAATTATTTCATATGCTGTTGTATCCACTTTTATTTAGATTTTTTTGAACAATGTTAATGCATCATTAACTATGAAGATTTTTATCTATTTTAATTAATGCTTATATAAAATCTCCAGATGACAATTAAATAAGCCTGCAGTGTAATCCTATTAATCATAAAGCATGCATTTCCTCAAAAAAAAAACAAAACAAACAACCCAGAACACATACTGTGAGCATAAGACCCCTCTTAAAGCAGAATGACAGAAATCAATCTTACAGCCAAATAGTAAAAATGTTTATAAACACACATTGAAGAGTATTACTTCAAAGAGCATCTTGGTATGAATAACACCAGCAGGTATTTTGTTATTTTTTTTGTAAGGCAAAGAATGTGCTTAAGGCTGCATATAATCCTTATTGAGGGATGTACATGAGAAATAAATGCTTTCATCACATTCACAGATTACTTCCCTTTTCAGCACAAAACACCCCAAATCTTTTATTAAATCTAGATTTTCTTCAGCTTTCTTGTCAGCCCTCTTCTGTGGTTCACAGCGCTGCACATAGAGTATATTTCTGTCCCGAGTTACCCAGGTACTAAAGTCTTAGTGCTACTCCCAAAACATAAAAACACTGACTTAAAGTGCATTTAGACAGTTCTTACTTCAGACTTGAAACATGGTTTAGGGGCAACTGACTAGCACATTTTGCACTAAAACACTAGAAATACTGTCTCCTGCTTTAATGAAAAGCCAGGTGCCTTAATACTTGCAGGAACATCAGAATGCAATACATTGTAAAAGATTATAAACTACCATCTTCAAAACCATAATTAGTAGTGCAAAAAAATGTGTAGAGTGACAATATTATATCTTGAAATCAAATTGAATTTGATCACAGTTTAAAAAGGAGGCTGCAAAGTTCAGCAGTAGTAGTGCTAACAGCATCTTTGTTCATCTTGGAAAACAGTCTTCAACAGCTATCAGCCAGGAAGGGAATTACTGCTATTTACTGGCAGCAGCTCTGTTCCTCTGGGGTGAAGTTAGCATTTATGCTGCAGACAATAGTTACAGCCAGTTCTGACTCCCTTAATATGAGCAAGCTGAGCTGTTCTACAAAAAACAAGTACAAGTTTTGTTTTCAAAAGTTTAGACAATATTGACTGTGAAATAATGTCCGTATTTGTCTCAGGTGATGAAAACAATCCATACAGTCTTTAAAAGAAAATTCGATTGTGATGAGAAAGATATAATTCATTAAATCTTTACTGACACTCAATACTGACAGACTTTTTCCTGGCAATTTTACTTCCCTGTTGTAAATTGCAGATTCTATAGAAATAGACTGCTCTAGTCTCCTCAAGAGACATGATTTATAAATGCTCCACACTCAGAGATTGACATATACATTTGGCTATTTTACTACTTGTTGCAATTTTTCACACTTTTCAACCACAAGGAATTAACACCAACTGTAGTATTAATACACAGTTTACAGTGCTCTTCTGCCACAGCATACCAAACTCTTGGTCTTTTTGTATTATACTTTTTTCTTTTGTTCTATTTTAATTATGTAAGTTTATTAGGAGTGGTTCTTCTTCCTTACACCTATTTCTGCCTCTGGAGTATAGTAAACAATCCTTGCTTCCATAAAGACTAGATTACTAATATGCAGTCTTTGATAAGGCTCTGATGAGATTTCCTTGAATTATGTGTGCCTAACAACTTCCTTAGGAGAACTAGAACCCTCATGATGAATATTTTTTAATAATGGCATCAAGAACCCAGATCTGCCTGATCTTGTGATCTTCCCACATGCTTCTAAACACTTTTATATCAACTTCAATTGAAGCTGATCTGTTCTTCACTGTAAAGAATCCTGCCTAGAAATAGATGGTTCTTCTGTAACAGAATATGAAATGCAATGCAATTATCACACAATAGGCTTTGCCAATGAATAAATTAAACATCATTTCTTCAACCACTTCTTGGTAATGTCTGAATTACTATTTGGAATTAGCTATTGTTGCTGAAATATTGGTAATACTCTTTGTGTTACTGGAGAGACAGTCTCTGCTCTACCAATTTTGTTCAAAGCGAAACAGTACATGGGAAAACACTAAAATGAAAACATGGCTTGACTAGTAATATTGGTTTTGATTTACATCTTGTGAGCCTTATAAAAAAAGTAAGTCTTCAAGGGGGAGTTTAATTGAAAAAGGACAGCTGTTGGGACAGATGAAATGAGTTGCAATTCATTTCTCTGAATACACAATTAAAAGAGATACATTGTTACAAGACAAAACATAGGTCTGGGATAAAAATTAGGAAGATGTATTCATGTTGATCTGAAAGCTTCTTTTGTTTGGGTAACAAGGTTCACTGCAGTAGGTATTTTAATCCAATTGAAATTTACCTGCAATGAATGGTGGCACACAAGACAGGGGACTTGTGAACCTGTCTGAACTGGATACATACAGTACAGCTGCCAGCGTTAGGAACAGACACAGAAGGGATAAGCAATCTGGAAAGTGGTTTTTAGTTGCTACTACATTGCTTTTCTGACTTTCAAGTGGATTTTGGAAGTTTCCCCATTTGTGTCTCTTGCTGGGACCCTTGCACTAGGAGAAAGAAAGCCCAGGGATCCCAGAGCAGACAACCTCAGTCCCAGAAGCATGCCATTCAAGAGAGATGCAATGACATGTTTTGGTGTTCCTGCCATCTGATATCATATTATCCACATACGCTAGAGAACTGGACTACCTTTTGGAGAAGTGTATTACCTCTCTAAAGCAGAGTCTAAAGATATGGCAAGCACAGTATAAGGACATCACTACATTTAATTAGGAAAGGGAGACTTTTTGAGGAAAACCTCAACAGCAACTTGGTAAAAACTGAAAATCATAAAGATGTGAAGTGAAACTCTACCCCTAACCTTTTGTAGAAAAGCAGGCAGGAATTTTATT